TATATATATATATATATATATATATATATATATATATATATATATATATATATATATATATATATATATATATATATATATATATATATATATATATATATATATATGCAGCTTGTTATGTAATAGATGAATTTAAATGTTAGGAATTGGACTGTTCAAAATCTTTCATTATATTCTAGAGAATACGACAAATTGGATCCCAACGTTGATCTGATTGAACTTGCTAAGAAAACCAAAAATTTCTCAGGCGCTGAATTGGAAGGTCTAGTACGAGCAGCTCAGTCAAGCGCAATGAATCGATTGGTAAAAGTAAGTAACATTTTAAATTCAATTGATTGACTCTTTTGTACTGAATATCGTTTGAATAGTGTCTGTGGTGATGAAATTTTAAAAACTTGGGAGTTTATTGCGTTGGGGAGAATTGAGAATTTCTTTCAGCTTTCAGCAGTTGTTTTGTGCTGTTTGATTTAATAATACGATCAAATAAGAATGACACATGCTCTTAATAGCACATAGTTGCTTTCAGTCCCAGGCTTTGTTATTGAACTTAAAAACTTTAGGCGGGTGGCAAAGTGCAACTAGACGCTGATGCAGTGGAGAAGCTGATGATCAATGTTGACGATTTTAATTATGCTCTTGAAAATGATGTCAAACCGGTTCGTTACCAATTAGTAATTAATTAGCCAAGTAGAACTTTTTTGAACCCATGCTTGAAATTTAATTAAAAATTGATATGTTTATAAAGTATTATCCTTTATTTGATCTTATTTTAGGCTTTCGGTCACTCTAACGAAGAACTGGAAAAGTACTTGACTGGTGGATTTATTTCCTGGAGTGCGCAGGTTACTCAAATACTTGAACAAGGCGCTTTGTTGGTAAAACAAGTACGAAGTCCTGATACAAAAGGATTTGCTTCTGTTTTACTAGCAGGTTTTGGAAAGTTGGATTTCTTTTACTAATGAGAAAGCATGAACACCGGCAAATTTCTCAAGGAAATGTTTGCTAATGTAAGTAGACATAAGTAGACCAGTAAGTGGGTTGGACAAAATTCTTGTTGACAAGGCTATAAATTGAGGAGTATGGCAAAGATACTAGAAATGATCACACATTCAATCACTATTATGTTAACGGTTGGTCTAATACATTTCAAAGAAGGTTCATTTTATCAGTCTTCTAATCATTTGCTTCGATCTCTCCCTGTACACTTGAGCTGTAGTAATTCGAGCACTTCTGTTTTAACTGGTAAATACCTGATAGCGTCTCCTGACTTCTGAACTGGAACGTGACTTGGAAGTGTAGAAATATTGTGCCACGATTATATCAGATTTCACATCTAAGTAATTAAATAAAGTAGTTCAAAGAAGCATTATCAGCAATAAACAAATGAATAAGTTTCTAATATATGTATAACAATTAAGCACTTTTTCTTAATTTGTGTTTAACTACTTAGATTCAATTCATATGTTTGAGGTTCACCAAACAGTGGCAAAACATGTCTGGCCGCGATGATTGCAAAAGCTTCCGATTATCCATTCATAAAAGTAATTAGTGCGGAAGATATGGTCGGATATACCGAAACAGCGAAATGTGCTGCTCTGCGGAAAGTATTCGATGATGCGTATCGGTCGCCGCTCAGTTGTGTTATTGTTGATGGTGTTGAACGGTTACTAGGTTTGTTTATTTTGAAAATTTCCAAATAAATGCTAAAATTCTTTTTGAAATAAAAAAAATTTAACTCCGCTACTACTGTATGCTCTTTCTTTATCACTTTCACTGAGTGGTTTTTTATATATTAACATCACGAGATTAATTTTTAGATTTCTCACCAATTGGTCCGCGGTATTCAAATTTGGTCCTACAAGCATTATTTCTTTTAGTGAAGAAACTACCACCTCCGGTATGTTTTATACTCCTTTAGCCAGTATTTTATTTCTTACTGAAAATCTGAAATTCAAATTCCAAGTTTTGAAATTGCAAATTTCTAACGCTTGGAGATTTTCTCTGATAAACATTTTTCTGTCTATTGAATTTAAGTAATTATACTCTTTAAAGTGATGTTATTCTATGTGCTTTCATAATGATATAGCACTTTAGAATCGGCGTTTACTTGTTGTCGCTACGTCAAGTAATCGTTCATTCTTACGTGAGCTCGGTTTATTGTCAGCATTCTGTACAATAATAGACGTACCCGCGCTAACAACCGTGCAGCATATCATGGCTGTTATTGAGGATACAAATGCACTTTCACGCCAAGAATGCGAAGAGATTCGTAGCGAGCTTTCTCGTGTAAATAAAGAGTAAGTCACTTCAGTTTTTTTTTTTTTTTCATGAGAAAGCTAAAGCTTAATTGTATGTTTGTGTTTGAACTTGTGATGAACGTGCTAAAGATTAATATTAATTTCTTGAAGAAACTGAAACAAAAATTATAGAAAATCCATTAATTGTAGTTGTTTGTAAAAGTTCATATAGTATGATAGACCACAAGGATCGTCTCATTTTTCTAATTGCATTTTTTAGAATATTGTTTTATTTTGTGAAGAAATTCTTTCATTTTGAAAATGTTATTGCACTTAGCTCTAGCGATGAAAAAAACTATGCCTAACTCTACTGGCAACTTTTTCTATGAAATTACAAATTGAACTGCAATGGAACTGAAAAAGAAAAAAGTGCTGCCACTTAATTTCATAATTTGCAGATACTTCATTGGAATCAAGAAGTTATTAAATGTGGTTGATATGGCACGGGAATGTGAACCGGTAGATAGAGTTTCAGTGGTTGTGCAGAGTTTGATGTCTGAAACATTCGGTAATTCGTAATCTGGATAATGATAGCGACTTTTTGACATATTGTCTGACATATGTCAGATTTGCAGATTTTATTTATCATTTTTTCCCACGTAGAGATATTCTTAGGTTATTTATCACTATTATTGCTATTAATTCGCTAAGAATATGGTGAATTTTTGTAGCCGCTAGTTCGTCTTTGAATATTGGGTAAGCGAATGTTTAAGTCGAGAGAAAACTTTCTCTTTTAGACTTCTTATTTTTTCCATTTAAGCCTGTTTCCATCGTTTTTATGCATGTTAATCAAAAATTGTACCAATCTCTGGTATCTAGTTCAAAAAGGTTTTAGAGAAATCTTTAAGGAGTTCGTAAATTTGGAACTAACTACTCTCAAAACACTTCAATGACAAGACTACCCCCTTAGTAAGTTCGGGTTATCATCTACGTGAGCAAGGTTGCTGCGCCTGCTAGCGATGTACATATGTTGAACGGGAAAAGGTCGTTTAATTTTCTAAAAGATGTAAACTGAAGATAACCACTACTTTTTAAATTCCGTCTCTGGCAAATCACTTAGAAACAAACTTTTCTGGTATGTCGTTGGTTTACTTTCTCCAAGTGCACCCAAGACTTTGAAGTTCAAACCGTAACTTTTGCTAGACAAACCGTTAATTATGGAACGAGCAATTTCATATTTATTTGCCTTAAAATATTTTAACTGAATGATCTGAGAAAAAATACGTCGAAAAATTTCCGGAAAGCCATGATTTACAAATTTTTAGTTTTTATGTGTCCAGGATTTCGACTATCTCGACAAATAAATTTTTTCGAATAACTTATAATTTTTTAATACCCATATAATAGTATGATCACATGTAAACATGAATTAGGAATAAAAAAAAGGAAAAAAATCATAGTCAAAAATCAATATATTATGATTGGGAATTGCGTTTTATTAATAGATGAGTAAGTGAATTAATCATTCTATGACAGCTTCGCATATTTATTTATTCGTATTTCATATGATTTTTTGATGAAATGCTGATATATTCCTTATGGTTTGAAGCCTTATCACTGTTTGGAAATGATAAAGATCAACAATGGCCAAACTGTTAATGTTTATTAGTAAGGCATTACTTTATCTCTAAAGTTAATAGATAACTTGAACAAGATGGTTATTATCTTCATACTCATATTTCCAGTATGCAAATTTATTTGAAATTCATCATGAATGACCAAGCAATTTCGATGATCTCGGCGGATGCAATAGATAGTTTAATTAATTATTACATTCCATCAAACGTTAGTTGTGACGTTATATTTTTTTTAATTAATAAACTTTGTAATATATTATGTAGACGTATTCGTATATGTTTATGTGTAATAATTCCCATATGTCTTGTTCGTCTTATGTATTACGTCTCTAAAAAAAAGGTATAAAGATAGTCTTTAATTAATTGCATACATTTCTATGGTACATATATACAAAATGCTTAAAAGTGAAGATGTTAACCGCGGAAAAATTCCCGTATAGTTTTTGTTTTAAGAATATTAAGATTAAAATGGAGGCAAAACTACCTGAAAATTATTTGTCAAAACTACCTGAAAATTACCTGCAAAACTACCTGAAAATTATTTGTTATTTAAGTGAAACAAAAAAATTATAATGCTAATTTATTGAATAATACCAAATAGTAGTAATGGTAAAAGCTATGTATGTTCAAGAGGATTTTTTTTTTTTTTTTAGCGCTATTAATGGTTACTTTTACGTTTTTAATGGGTAGGAAAAGTTTTTGGTGATGAGTACCTGTAATGCGAGGATACATACTAATAAGGTAAAGCAAATCAAGAAGATCTTCAAAGTTTTCAGTTTTTGGTAGATTTGTGAAATTTTTTTGGGTGAAGTCTTATGGTTTACTGCAATGAAAGATGTCAAATTTGAAGGAAACATAAAATTATTGCAGCCGAAGGATTAAGTATAAGAAAATTATTAAAACATTTGATACTTTAATATAGATTCTGAAGGCGAACGAAACAATACAACCATCTGTACAGTTTCATGAGAACTGCGATGCAACGAAAAGCCTTGAAGTGACAATTTGATGGATCGTCATGTCAGCGAAGCAAATCTTTCGAAATTTTCTCTTCAGGAAATTATGAAGATCGTCTGAATTTGATTATTCTTTCTCTTTTTTCCTTTTTTTTTTTTACACCGTAAGATTTTCAGAATGTTTGTTGTTTGTTTGTTTTTTCTTTTCTTTTTAATGAATTGATAAAGATGACTTAGCTATAAGTCTTGATATAAGTAATAATAGGATAGGCAGGTGAGTTTGAATTGCAGATGTAGGCAGTTGAGTTGACAAATGGTAAAGAAATTCTAGTTTCTGTCCGATATTTTTTTTTTAAAAATCTATTACAGGAAGCGAAGAAACTAAACTGTAAAGAATCTGAAAAGAGAATAAAGAAAAGAAGGAAAAAGAAAAGAGAAAAAAGAATGATATAATCTCTTATTGTCGCATTCATTCATTAACATTGGAAGAAATGGTCAATTTCCAAAGCTAATTATTATGAGGACGACAGCAATATCAACAATTGATATGGCTGAGAAAGTTTTCTTTTTTGTCATTTTTGTGAACTAGCACTATTTCAGTGAGTGTGAAGAACAAACGTCACTAAATTCCAAAAATGTCAATTTATTCATTCTTTCAAATTTAAAGGAAGCAAATATAAAAGTTTTCAAAAAATCCAACTAAAATGATTACATGAAGTTCAAATTTTAGATTTTGTTATGTTCCAAAAATATGAGCAAAATATAAAAAGCGCTATGCATTGGCCGGCTGTTATAATTGCAACGATAACTTATTTAATTTTATTTAACCAAAGTTATTACTTCATTTAATCAACGGTGTTGTATTTTTTGGAGGAATGAAATCAATCGATAACGACGGAATATAGTTTTACTGTATGGTACCAGAATTCAATTTTATCGAAATTCTTCTCACTTTTTGGTAAACGGTACGATAGTCTATGTTTTCATTCGTCCAATTTTTTATTCTTATATGCTTTTTGAAACTCAATGTGGCTTTCGTTCTTATTCCGCTTTACTCAACATTGTAGATAAATATAGCAAACATTTTATATATACTTGAATATAGTAAAATCTTCGATTTGTTCAGTTAGTGAAATTAATTGATTTTTTTGAGGAAACGAAATAAAACTGCCATAATGCATTTTATTTTTATATGGTATTAAACTTTTAATAGGTATACTGTAGGTAATTTATTTAATTGTAAAGCTCAATTCTTCCAAAATGTAATCAAATCTAATTTTTCTCTTGGCTGAGATAACAAAAGGATTTTATTCTATCGAGCTATTGAGGGTTCGTAATTCTCATCAAAGACAACTAATTTTTTTGCCCACTTTCTTCCTTCTTTCCTAACTTAACAGATAATTAACGGACATTTCGTGAAATTCCTAAATTTTAATTTCCAGAAAACTGCAATGTTGGAAGCCGCTGCTAATTTAGTGCTATTTTGTAAATAGTTAAGTTAATTTTTTTTTTTTGAAGAAAAGTGAAATATTAGAGGTACGTATGAACTTAAACGTTTTTCGGCAAACGAGATCGAACGTTGAACCTCATCCGTTTGTAAGATGTAAGACGAAGAGATGAAACTTAACAACAAATCGTCTTCCAATGTTTATCATTCCTATTTCGGGTAGCTGTATTGATATTAAACCGGAAAAGTTAATTTAATTCTCATAATTTGCAGAATAATCGTCTATTAGTGATAGCAACGGTTATCATCCATTGTGTAGAAAACTTTGGTTTGTTATTTTTTATTCGTTATTGAAGTTCTCTTCTAATCAAAGATTGAAGGAATAATGCTGATAACCGAATGTATTGAACAAAGTTGATTTTCAAATGCTTCGAGAATGCCTAATGAATGATATGAATAGGTATAAAATAAATTTAGTCCTGTTTCTACAGTTGTTTTTTTCTTTTTTGAAATTATGAAACTTTTGAATTCTGTTCATCTCATGTGAATATATGAATCTTCCTGAGCGTCTGAAAAATCTCGGGACCATTAAGGCCATTTCAATTTTTACCGCTGTACTGTCCATTTATCGATTGTACGTGTTCCTATTGATTAAATGTGAAAGTGAAAATTATTTAAAGCTCAGAAAATTTTCAAAAAAATAAAGTAAAAAAACTGCGAAGAATTCCAGAATTTTCTCGAAATTTACCAAAATTTATTATCATTTGGAATGGTACTAATTTAAAATCAATATACCAAATGGTTTTGTAATTATCCAATTAGCATCAAAAGTCTCTCTTGATCATAATTGAAGCATTCTGCTACAATAAATTGTATTCATACATTTCTCCATCACCTCTTACAGTAAGAATTAATGATTTAAGTATTAATTATTCTCAAAAATTTTATCGAATCAATTATTTAAAGTCACCTTTTGTTTTTTTTTTCTTCACTAACTGCTGTATGCTTGCTTGGTTTTATGAGGTTCAAGCAGAATAAGATAATATATTTTGTATTTTTATTACTGTATCACCATAACTATAAATTTCTTCCTTATTCTAAATTTTATTGGGATTAGAAAACCAATTTGACCGAGAGAAATTCAATGTTTCCAAATCATTCCATATTACTGATTCTCCATTTTGGTGAATTTATCTTTTGTGTTTCATCATCATTCATATCCCATAAAAGGATGGTAATTAACATTTTATAATGTTCATCAATTCCTATACTTTCCCGATTTGGTTGATTAGTAATTGTGACTGGTTTATGTTTTTTTTCAAACTTCTAACTTGCGATAAAATGATAAAATATTTGATATCATATATGATTGATGTTGTCTGCAATACCTCTTTAAGTAGTTTTATCGAGATATGGATGGTATCAATGCATGACAAATGACCGGGAAATTCCAGTAAAACCAAAAAAGTACTGTTATATTTGCTATTTTCCTTTTACTCTTATTTGACCAACAGATGAAGAAGGATTTTTGAACTGAATAGACATTATTTTAGCAGTGCCAGTGAAAATATTTACATAAAATATACAGCTTTAATGTTTATTCATAAGGATAAATATTAAACAAATTTTTCAATATGCAAAACTTCTGTTGAAATCAAATCATGATATCCAAACTAGATATTTCATTTATACATATAAAAGTAAAAATTGATATCTTATTCAATTGGAGAATAGAAAAAGAAAAGCATGTGGTTTCACTTCAATTTTCATCTTTTTTTGCTAATTAAATAGAAATTTACAAAAAAAAAAAAAAATAGCATAAAACACCAAAGAGATATTTCAAATAGAAGCAGTAATCATTACATAAAAATAATGCAAGAATAGATGTAACTCTGATAAGGCAAGTAATAATTAAGAATGGATTAATTTTCAGGTTTTATATGTTAATTATCTCTTGAAACTTTCAACGCTTTTTTTTTTTTGTTAAGAAATATGGGATATAATGATGGATACAGTATGTTCAAATAGCTAAAATGATTTTATCTTTCTTTTAAGAAAATCTAACTTTCAAATTTTCCTCTTTCACATTTTACATCTTTGCATACAACAATTCAAGAAACAAAAAAAGGAACTGATAAAATCATAGTTCAAGGATATAGAAATTGGTGAAGAATAATCTTAGCATAATGATGATGATAAAATATATGAAAAACTGGGAGAAAAAAAAACATCAGATTGGTTAATTATTGTAGTTGTAAAGGGTTCAAAGGTTAAAGATGTAGTTTCTTTAAAATGAAATTATTGCCAGTCTTAATTTAACGATTCATTTAGCAACGAAACCTATACTTCCTTCACTTAAATAGTTTTTGCCTAAAACAATTTTAATTTTTACAGTATTTTGCATAAATTAAATGATGACATTTTTTTGTTGTCTCAAAAAGTCTTCAAAAAAAAAACAATAATTTTAAAAAGGTAAAGAATTAAAGAAAAAAATACATAATAACATAATAAAGTACAAATTAAATTGAAATCATTTTTCCAATTGAATATATGTTCCCAATGAATGCAAATTATCGTATACAAAAAAGATAACGGATAAAATTAACCACCAAACCAAATTATCGTATACGAAAAAGATAACGGATAAAATTAACCAACCAAACCAAATTATCGTATACAAAAAAGATAACGGATAAAATTAACCACCAAACTAGCCAATGATTAAAAATACCCATTATCACCAACAATACAATAACCCATT